TCTATTTGAATATAGAATTGATCTTGGATTGTCCAATGATGGGAGCCAATACTTTTATTTAAATCAGTTTGGGTTGTATTGCTGGTCATCTGGTGTTTTGCTTTTGATACTTTCTAGTTTTTGTGTTTTATTGCCAGAGGGTACGTGCACCTGCCAGAGAGAGAGACAGAGAGAGAAAGCACCCCCCAGTGGTGGGGCCTGGTCGTACTACAAGCCCTTTTCCTCCACTTGTCCATCCTGGGAGCGTTTTGGTCTCTCTCTCTCTCTCTCTCTCTCTCTCACACACACACACACACACACACACACACACACGTACCTGGCATGTTGTTCGAGCCACGGGGGCTATGTGGGATCTGGCTTTTTACACACAGCTCTTAACCACTGTGCTGTGGGGCCAGCCTTGTGTTGGCTGTTTATAGTAAAAATCCTGACAGGCACCAGTCCCTACAGTACATACTGGGCACGTGAAGGAAGAGGATGTAAATACGAACAAGAACTGGTCCCTCCTCTCAAGGATCTGAGAGAGTGAAACTAGCACAGATAGGAAATCATAATTAAAAATCAACTTGACAATCGTTGTAATAAATGTATGAACCAAGTGGCAGGGGACTCAGAAGACGAAGCGAGTAGGTAACCTTTTGGTTGTCTGCCTGCAAAGAGGCGTTTCAAGAGTGCCTTGCATTGAGGTGTTGAATCTGAGGAGTACCTGGCTCTCTCGGGAAGCCGCAGGGCTGAGACCAACCAGGGTTTTCATCCCAATGCACACCCAATCAATTGAGCTCCTGTTCCAATCAGACCTGGTAGGGATTTAATTGCTTTGGATTGATTTTTGCCAGTGGTGCCTTCCAAACCCTCCACCTGGGGACAGAGAGAGATTAGTCACATCAGGGGCGGCTCCCTACTGACAACAGTGAAAATCAGGAGGGAGTGAAGACAGTTTAAACTAATCTTTAAAATCAGCATCCCCGAGTGTACCTAGGATGTGAGCAGAACCACTTGACAGATAGTGACGGGGGTGCTTTGAATCAGTTCAAACACAGCAATGGTAGTAACAGGAGCTCTCATCTGTTAGCACTCACAACAGACTATACCGTCTTAAGCTCCTCACATAGGGTCTGGGCTTCACTTTGCAGACCAGGTCACAGGGTCAGGCTAACCAGTTACTTATTACTGACACCATGCAGAGGCCTCATTGGTTTCTAGGGATTCCTGCCCCCACATACAGGGTCTCATTTCATCCTCACGTCAACATGGAAGCACGTGTTCTGTGGTACCCAGTTTACAAACGAGTAGAGAAGTTATCTGCCTAGCTGAGGAGGGGGAGCCGAGATTTGGTCTTAGGGAAGTCTTGCCAGAACATCCCCCCGTGGATGAATAGAGGGCTGTCTGAGGAGCCACTGAGTATCCAAACATGGTCAAAAGGGGAGACATCTGTCCCTCGGCAAAGTGGCGAGTGCTCCCCACCTCGGCAGCGGACACCATGTTCCTCAATGAGACGTTGAGTTTCTGCTGGATTTGGGGACAAGATATGGTTGAAGAAAGCTCTGCCCTCACTTGGAGTGTTCCAGAAAACAGGCATCTCTGCACTTCAAAGACAGCTTTGAGCAGAAATGGAGCACAAGGTGCAGTGGACGCAGTCCTGACCCATCCTCCGCTCGGCTGAGATGCAGAACTCGGATTTTCAAAGACCTTTATTGAACACTGGGTTTGGGGGATCAGAGATGAGTCAGATTCCATTGCTAACCTTAGGGATTGCACTTGTCCAAGAGAGACAAGGGCCAGCAGGTGGCATGGTAGTTAAGGTACTGGGTTCCCACATGACTGACCACAGTTTGAATCCTGGTCCTGGCAGTGTGAAAATCATGCTGGTATATGTGCTCTCATGTCTAAAATCACAGGAATAGAATAGAGGAGACAGGATTGCAGCATGCCCCTCCCCCCAGGGGATGATTTACCTTTCCTCTTTCTGTCTCTCTTAGGAGAGCACATGTACCCTATGGCAAAAACCTTAAAAAGAGAGAAAGACTTGTAAATAACCTGATACTCTGAGAACCCAGAAGAAAGGATGATTTGATCTGCTGAAGAACTTGTTTTGGTGGACACTTAAGGTCACCTAGGAAAGTCTACCTGAACTGCTCCTTGAAAGATGACTAGGAGTTCTTGGGCAGGAGTTGGGGCACAGGAGTTTCAGGCAGATGGGACTGCACAGGAGAAGGCTGAGAGTCAGAGTGCATGTGGGGTGTTGGTGCACCGTGAACAACCCTGCAGAGCTGGGTGGTAAGTAGGGAAGGCAGGGGTGCCACTGAAGGTAGCCAGGCTCATTCATTCATTGCTTCACTTACTGTGTCATTTCTCCATCCACCTAGGAGGAGATTATTGAAAGACTATTCTGAGGTGGATCAGGACAGGAGGAATCAGCTAGGTTCAGTGAGGACCAACATCCCATCCCAGGATGCTCGGCAGTAGGGATCCCACCCCATCAGCAAACTTCAGGCTTAAAGGTGTTAGGTCAGTTTCACAGGGCAGATGTGAAGCTCGAAGAATGGTTACTGCTGAGGAGCGAGGAAAGCTGGAAATGCAGTGCCAAGGGACCGAGGGGTGAACAGTGGTTCCCGAGCGGGATTTGCTAAGGGGGTATAGAGGTGGCAGGGCACAGCCCGGAACCTTGACGTTGGAAAGGCAGCAGAGGCGAGCAGCAGGTGAACTTGTCTTTGTACCCCCACCCCCTGCATCTGGCAACATCTGGCAAACAGCACAGTGTCGCATCCAGAGGACGGGCTCTGAATGCACGTAGCCCAGGGCCGTATATCAGCTGCACCTCTTTCTGGCTGTCACTTCCCTTTGCTGGACCTCAGTCTTCCCATGTATGAAATGGGATAGGAAGACTCACCCCCAAGCTGACTGTAGTGCTGTGAGATGCAAACGAGTTACTCCTTGGAACAGGCTCATGGGGGGCCCTGCCATGCCACGGTTCGGCGTAAACCATTCTTGGTGTTACCTGGCCCCGTGCTAGGTGCACCAGAACATTGTCTGAATAAATGGCAAATTCCAGGTGCTGTTTCTTCAATGAGATCTTTTTTTCCCTCAAAAATATGTTGATGTGTGCAATAGGGAGCTAGTTAGTCAACACTGAATGCAAGGATTCGGGCTTGTGGGGCTAGGAACCTCTGCCCGTTACCCAAGGTCAGAGACTCCTTTCCCAACTCCAGACACCATGTCTGGAGGTGCCAGGAGGAACAGACATTTCAAAGGAACATGGATGTGCAACTCTTTCACAGTATGAAAATAGATCGCCCTGGGACTGGAGCAGCTA